TAAAGAAACATAACTATTCTGCGTCAGAGCCCCCTAAAAAATGCACGGGGCTTCTGTTTCCTCCTCTGGTTTGAGTCTGTCACACCCTCCCACAGACTTTTTGCTTCTGGAAAAGCCCCTCCTCCCTTCCCAGCCCATCCTGTGCAATAGAAAACCTGAGGGCTTCCGGGGAGCGTCCCTGGGAACTACTCCCCACCCGACAGGAGGAGACATAGCTGTGCTCACTCCAGACCAGTCCTACCTACGCTTCCACATAAACCACTCTAGACACCCAGGCGCTTCTCCCAGATGGTTCAGGACGGGAACAGGCAGACGCGAAGCTGCTCCAGCAGGTCACAGGAAGGAAGGCCCATAGCTCTTGATCCTGCCTCATCCCTCCCTGTCACTCCCAATCTGTCGGGGGCCTGATGGTAAGTGGCGCAGCATTCTTCCTTCCAGCCCGGATGCCTGGGTAGAAGAGAGGCCATAGTTTCTCAGTAAAAGTATCAGTGAAGGTGTAGATATGGGAGCGGTCTGTGACATTGTAAAAAGACAGTGTGCCGGCCTCATAGTCTAGGAATATGCCCACCCGCTTGGGTTTCACCTTGATGTGCAAAGGAGTAAAAGGCGTGGTAGTGGCTGCATATTTGTCTCCGTTCCACAGTCGCACCCGCCAGTAGCCAGTCTCAGGCAGTGGGGTCAGCTCGCCCTTTCGGCTCACAGAGTCCCGGCACACACCCACTGCCCAGTGGGTCTTGTCGCCCACCTCCACCTCCCAGTAGTGTCGGCCTGAGGTAAAGCCCTCAGTAGCCAGGACGCAAGGGTAGAAGGTGAAGCGCCGTGGTGTGTCAGGTAGGTCCCGGAGTCTTGTCTCCACAAACTTGACGCTCTTTCGATCCTCCGACAGGACTAGGTTAGGATGAGCAGTCTCAGGGTCCAGGGTCACATCCGCTGGCGGGAGAAGCCAGAGTGGGGAGCTAGATGAGGACGGGAATAGCTCAACGCCCCTGCCTCAGTCTTCCAGCCTGCCTTACAGAGCCTGCTCCCTTAAAGGCCCCCAGAACACTGTGGTTTGGTTAACTTTCTCCATCCATGGTGTCACCTAAGGGAGGGGAGGGAATACTGCTTCACGTCTCACCCGCCCTGAAGAAGCAGGTGACTAACTCGCTCTTGCCTTTGCAAGGGCTGGTGGGTTAGGCTCCGCTTGCCTGGTCCTCCATCCACAGCCCCCGACATAATCATCATCTCACGGTGCAGAGAAGCACCAGACACAGTTCAAGGGCCAGAAAGAACGGAAAGCGTATGTGAAGAAGGATACAGAGAAGACACCATTGTCGGGTCTAGGGGCAGGGTGACCTGATACCCGTTTTCTTGGAACCGTCCTGGTTTATGACTATTTTCTCTGAGTAAAAATGAATGACATTCCCTTCACTCTCTAGAGTGGAACAATTTTAGGCAAATTACTTAACCTTTCTGGGCCCCTGTTCAGAAAAGCGTGGGCCTAAGATTAGATGACAGCGAGGCTTTTCACTGCGAGTGCTGTGACTCAGAGTGACCGAGAGCCAGGGAAAGGGCTGAGTGTGGGTGGGTGTGGGCAGGGAAAGTGACAGACAGGGTAACTGAGCCCACGTGAGGACTTGCTGCTCTCTGCTGACTCCCTCTGCTCTTTGGGGAACAACTCACCAATTAGCTGTTTAAGGATTTTCCTTAGGGCAAAGTACTGTCGGGGGAAACTGCTGAAGTTCTTTTCAAGCTGTATGGATACTGAAGTCACCTCCATGGTCTTCACCTTTTCACATCTAAGAGGGGCAGGGAGACGGGAAGAAAGGGCAGGTCACAGCGAAGCTCCATCCTCCCACCACCTCCCTCCTCCCTGAGGACAAGCACTTGTGTATTGCTTTCTTTTGCCAATCTGTGGAGAGCCATATGGTCCCCTGGACAAATCCTTAAAATGAGCCTCAGAACTTTCTGGAGGTATCTGTTATATTTCATGCAAGTGGGTAATTACCCTTCCCCCTCCCAACCCTTTCCTTCTTCCATCTTGTTTGGACACAATTCTACATCCAGGCACAGGTAGAACCTGGTTCTACATGATTTTGGTAGCTTCCTTAACAAGGAAGTCCTGATGTTCAAAGGGCTACTATTCCCCATGATTTGCTCTCTAACTGGCTTCATGGATGCATAACCCTTTCCCATATCCGACCCAGAAGCTGCATGACTTTCCCATCTTATTCCCCCAACTCCTTACTGTACTGTAAGTCTCTAAGCCAAGATCTAACTCACTTAAAGAGTTGCAGGAATCACTTACTTTTCCAGGGTACTTTTGACATCCTAGAGGGAAGGAGAAAAGAAAGCAGTATTGGTCCTGGTAGTCAAGGGTCCTACAGGCAAAAGGGTCCCCCTCCTCCCAAAAGTTCCAGATCTCTAAAACAGAAACAGGGCAAACGGAGGCTGCAATGCAAGGAGAAGAGCTTCAGAGGGGTCTGAGTACATGTCTCCCAACTTCCTCCTCACTTTCAACTTCTGGTCATCACGAAGCTTGGCAATTTCTATTCCTTCCAAATGGTTTCTTGTATGTTTGTCTTTGCTTCTCAAGGACACTGGGAGCTCAATGCAGGGTGCAGGGATTGTGTCTGCTCTTCACTCTGTCCCCCAAGTACCAACCACAACACCTGTCTCCTTGAGGATCAGTGCAGATAGCTCCAGACTGGTGGTAGAGGAGTAGGTCCTACTTCCCACTATGGGTTGGTATCCCTGTTTGGTATTGGTTAATAAACACTAATAACTGTGTGCCAATCCTGACTTGCAAATACTTGGGGTCCAGAAGACAAAGAAGACAAATCTCTGCCCCCAGGATTTCCCAGTTTAATGTGGAAGGCAGAACACACATACATGAAAGGACGTGAGAATAAACACCAAGGAGTACATCAGCATGCAGATCAATGTGCAACGGCGCCTCGCTGAGTCCAGTGCTGCTGGTCTGATCTCTAAGGTAAGAAACATGTTTCCTACAGCCTTGCTAACACCATGCATCTCCTTAAGAAAACAAATGATTTCAAACATTTTTGAGATGTTTACAAATCAAAAACAATGTATTTTTTAATACATTTTAAGTGTCCTTCAAACTAGGTTTCTATTGTGTTTTTTTTTAAAAAAAGATTTTATTGATTTTGAGGAAGGGAAAGGGAGAGAGAAATATCAATGTTGAGAGAGAAACATCAATTGGCTGCCTCCTGCATGCCTCCTACTGGGGATTGAGCCCACAACCTGGGTATTGCCCTGACCGGGAATCAATCCATGACTTCCTGGATCATAGGTCGATGCTCAACCACTGAGCTACACCAGTGGGGAGGTTTCTATTCTTTTTTAGCACTAGGTAAATCAAATTCTAGGACTTCAAAGTAACTGCATTTACACACTTTTTTAATGCATAGTTTTTTTTTTCCCACAAATTCAGACTAGATTTCCCTCCTCTCAAAAGAGTGGATTTTTTCTTTGGTACAAATTACGCACATAATTGTTGACAAGACATAACACAAAAATGATTAGAAGGAAATGGGAGAAATCAGAGGAGCTTTTCTGTAGAAATAGACCCTTTGATTATGTCTAGGAGAACTGGGTTTAAAGAAGCAGAGCAGAGGAGTGAGCATTCTGGGCTGACAAAACAGCCTGTGCAAAGCTAGACTGTGCCCGACCTGCGGGGCCACGCAGGAGCAAAGGTCGAACCTTAAGCATCTCGAAGCCCGACTGCAAGCACTTGCCCTCCACCTCAGCGGCCAGGTGGGCCAGGTCACGGCGCCTGTCTCCTAGGTGCGCAGCGTTTTCTCGGAGGCGCTGCAGAATGTCCTGCTCCTCCTCCTCCAGTCTCGACAGCAATGTCTGCTGCTCTTCATCCAGCCGCCTGTGCAGCTCCTCAAATTCCGTCAGGATCTGCTGCCGGCGACTCTCCACCAGCCTCTGAGAAAAGAGGGAGAGTGCTACTGATTGAGCGGGGCCTGTGGGCCCAGCGTCCCTTGCCCTACCGACCGTGCGTATGAATTCCAGTGTCATTACAGTTTAACAGGACACTAGTTTCTCTCCACTGTCAGTTCCTTCTATAAAGAATAGCTCTATCCCGCTGAGGACTTGGGAGTGAAAACCAGTGGGAAGATAAAAATCAATGTTTAAAAGTTTTAATTTTCTTAAATTACATTAATTTCTAAAAAGCCATGCTTTTATGTTTTAGGAAAAATAATTCAAGACATAAGAACTCAATAATATAATGACAAACTATTTCAGATATCAGAAATATCTGATGATAAAGTTCTAGCTATTGTAATTCGTTAAGAAAGGAAAATACAGCCCCAGCCAGTTTGGCTCAGCAGATAGAGCGTGTCGACCTGTGGACTGAAGGCTGCCGGTTTGATTCTGGCCAAGGGCCCCCAGTAGGGGCATGCAGGAAGCAGACAGTCGATTATTTTTTCTCATCACTGATGTTTCTCTCTCTCTCTCCCCGTCCTTCCTCTCTGAAGTAAAAAAAATATTTAAAAAAAATAAAGAAAAGGAAAATACAAATACTGGCAAGATAAGCGATATGACAGTCATCATTTGTATGTTGCAAGATCAGATAGAATTAACTGAAAAAGAATCACTAAGATTCTAGTAATGGGCTGTAACAAATATAGAGACTTCAGGCTGAACTTGAAACAGTTTCAAGTCATTTCTGAGACTTGATAACTGGCATCCCAGGAACAGGTTCCAAAGTTTCTTAGTAAATGAGTTGCTTAAAATTTGAAACATTCTTTCTCTCAGCCAGCATATAGACTTGAACCTTTCGCATTCCGGGAACTTGCTAATATAGGGTTCAAACACCAGCCACAATCCTTTCTGAGGGTTATCAGCAAGCACGTCCCACCTCTGTACTTCCACTGCACCGAGAAGCGACCTCCCCAAAGAAGGCTGCTCCCAGTGTCATGTGGCTGGCGGGGAGGAATCACCCCACACCAAGGGAGCAAGGTGAGAGGCAGGGACAGGACTGTGGAAGGAGGAAGTGGCTGGGACTGAAAGGCAGGGCTGTGATGACTGCAGTGGCCCTGGAGCCTGGGTGGCTTCCCAGGCCTGCTGCCAGGAGAGGCTGATGAGCTCCAGTGGGGTAGCGGCCGCTGCTCCCATTTCACTGCTGCCCTTGCAGAACCACATGGAACAAAACACATTCCCATGCCCTGGCCGGTTTGGCTCAGTGGACAGAGCATCGGCCTGAGACTGAAGGGTTCCGGGTTCGATTCTGGTCAAGGGCATGTGCCCAGACTGTGGGCTTGATTCCCAGAGGGCGTGCGCAGGCACATGTCTGGGCTGCAGGCTCAATCCCCAGTGGAGGGTGTGCAGGAGACAACTGTTAGATGATTCTCATCACTGACGTTTCTCTCTCCCTCTCCCTTCCTCCCTCTGAAATCAATAAAAATATCTTTAAAAAACCCCCCACAAAAAAACGCACATTCCCACAACACATACCTTCACATAAAGCACAGCCTGGGTGTGTGTTTAGATGTGATGAATGGGTGGAATTTAGAATTCATAACTGATAAACAGGTAGCAAAATAGTTCTCCTTCATATGACCCCATAGTCCCTTCTCTTTTTTCACTCTGTATTTGCAGTGCAGTGGTTCTTAAAGAGGGTGTGAAATTATATTTGGAATTTCATTTTGAGATATTATGTCACCAAGAGCTAAGTGCTTGTGTTATTTGAGTCAACATGGCTCACAATGACCTCAGTCTGAATTCGCATTTGTGGCATTGTGTTATCACGTAGGTGAAAGGACAAAGCTATACTGCAGTGTCTTTCAGGGTACTCACGTTTAAATATTACACAGCAGGTTTTATTACAGGTCACTTTTCTTTTGTTGTATTATATTATACTAATACTAGTAGCCCATCGCGCAATATCGCACACAGTAGGCCGCCCGCCGCTGCCCTGGGAGCCGGAGGG